CGTTATAGTGTATTTTAAAGTTTAAGTGATTTTAAAGGTTTAATTGCTTATCGCCAACATGACGTTTTACGGTCAAACGTGCTATGTTTCGACACTGTAGACGCAGAATGTATTACGAAAAACGAATGGAGTACGTTGGCGATACATCTGCGACCGGATTAGTGCATGAAGTGCACTGTAGGACCCAGCCCCTGAATTTCAGTCGAATCTTTCACCCGAACGTTCTACGCGCGCAAGCCGTTATATTGCATAACCCAAACGCCTGCTCCCGTGCAAGATTGCCACACGCATGCGATAACGGTAAATTGTTCAAAACTATAAAGCTTCCTTTGGTCGGAAACCTAGTGTCAAGTTTTCGTACACACAGTACGACAATTCTATAATAATAATAATAATAATAATAACTACCAATAATCGATCCGTTGATTTAGTTTTGGCATTTTGTGGTACGCGACAAGAGTCTAAATCGATTCTTGAATAAGCAAGTCGCACGACGAACGGAATGCTGAGAAGTGAGGTTCGCAGAAATAAATCTGTCCAGTTACCGGTCGATTTTTTTCGAAAAAACAAATAAATTCACAATGAAAAAAAAAATGACTACTGTGACTCATTTTTACCAGGTTTTAAAAGAATTTAATATTTTCGTATTCGGATTAGAACCGTTAAAATATAAAATCACTTTATTATCTTATCTAAGCATTTCTCTACACGAATTGCACTCAAAATACTAAAAAACCAAAAAATGTACAGTAATTTTATCAGATGGAAGAATTCTACATTAATACAATTTTTCTGCAATATCGAATAAAAACGACTAATACTTTTAAGTCCCAATAACCAGATACGAGTGAAATACTACACGACAATTGTTGGTGTAAGTGTAATACCATGAAGTAAGATATCGATAAAATTGTTTGCAGACTGTGTTGCGACTTAACTTATAATTGACGACATCTTATAAACTTAACCATAGAAAATATGGTTTATTTATATTTGAATATTTCGGTTCTATCGATTAAAAAATGTAAACCGTTAGAAATGTTGATTGATATTTGTATTAACTCGTGCATTTAACATCTACTTTAATCACTTGAAACAGAATGCAGTTCTCATATGGTTGGGACTGTCTGTATTGATTATTGTTTATACAGAATTATTATTTAGTGAGAATACACCACGCCAAGTGCACGAATAACGTGTGTGATTTGAAAAATAAGTAACAATTTTATTTTAAATTTGAATAAAAAAAATATTTTGTACGTTGTGAAAAAAAAAGAAGAAATTTATGGAACGATCTGCAACGCTCGTTTATTTTTATCGAAGACAATCATTATCTTATTATCTTATTATCTATATTATATTAATTAGTATGTCAACAATACTTGGGCGGAATAATTTGATAAGTTTGATCGAAATTACTGGAGAAAATGTGTAGAATAACTTAAAATACGGCGAACATTAGTCCGACATGATATCCTGCAGGAGGTGTTGGTTTCCAAACTCACTCTTTGGTCGACAAAATAATCGTCTGAGAGCTATCAAATTTCCAAGTGGTTCATCTATCACCATAAATACCCTTCTGTAAACACCTAAAAATAAGATAGTTATTACTCTCTGTACTCTCTGAATTGTAGCCATTTAGCGTTATACCGACAGCCCATTGCAGCCAAGTGGTCCGTTAAATGAAAAAAAACTTGATGTAATCAAATTATAACAACTGATGATTCCAATTATTTGCAATATCCTTCCGCATATCAGCCTAATATTTATATTATTATATTATATATTATATATAATTATATTATAATTGTGTAACATGGAATTTTCATTTAACTTATCATTAGAGTCATTTCACAACGTCGATTAACCAAACAGTTTATCATTAAACGAAGACCAAAAGTACGACATGAAAACGTGTAACAGTACAAATATTGTGAGCATAATTGCCATTCATTTTCAAACGATTCGAAACAAATTAATCAAATATTCTGATCACGATGTATTACGAACTAACACGTTTTATACAAGTTTTAATTAAATATTTTTATCTTGATAAAAAACAAATTATCACGCTTTAAAAACGAATTAAATTATACGCGGTAAAAGAAAAAAACAGTTTAAAAATAAAAACTTTTTAGTACGATAATCATACACGTTTAATATTGTATATTTTACTATGCCTTTCAGCTTAGAATATATAATATGAAACCATTTTTCAACGGTTCATTAAACTATTTTCTTTGTGAACGCACTCGTTTTACATACATAAGTATATATATACGAGTACATTAACCATTAGTTCTTGCTAATAATTTTCACAAACCAACAGTAACCGATTTTCGGTTTAATTTCACAATCTGATTCTATCGTATAGTTCGGTTCAATTCTGAGGTTTTTGGCAACGGAATAGCACCAAAAAAATTATACCTATAAAATGATTTGAAGTACAGCACCTTGAGCACGTTTAAAAAAATACGCGCCGCTTACCACCCTGATGAGCGCACCAATTGCCTCGTAGGATGTACATCGAATAGTGTCATGATTCCGGGTACATGATTTTTGAAGTATAAATTTTAGGATTTAACTCGCACAATTTTTAGTATTATTTATTATATGCATAGTTTATATTTTACATACTTTTTCTATACCTTTCGATAAACTATCGAAAATAATAAAAACGTACTTATTCATTTTTATTACTGCTTTTTGAATCATATAAATATCCTCGTATTTAATTAATTTACGAAATCTATGTTATTATAATGACATATCTGCAAATTATACGGAACATTTTTTGTCCCTTATATTAGTAAGCAGATTTTGTATTGATAAGGTTTTCATTATTGTTTTTTTCCGTAGTTCATCCTGTCAACATCATTGCCCATAACAACTGTGCTAGGGTAAATTAATGAGTACTGTTTAAAATGCAGATGGCTACGACTATAAAACAAATAATCACCATTGAAAAAAATGTATTAACGAATTCGAATTATTAGTTTCAGTGTTGAAAGATCTACATTAGCTTGATGAACACCATATGTTTTTCGTTTGAACATGAAAACTATGTATAAAATATACGTAGAACGCGTTTGGTAAACCAAATTCGAGACAGTATGAAAAAAATGTCTAGTGTAGAAATAAATAAAAACGTCCCACTTAAACAAGATTAGGTAAGCATGTTTAAAAATAGTACATTCTCGTATTATATAAAACATATATTATATAGCTAATTTATAACATTTAAAATAACACAGTTAATTATAAGATTCGAAAATGATTGAATGCAAAGTCAGTTCGATTTATCGGTATATAGTACCACGTCGTTGGGTTATTTTCGCGTCCTTTTAATACATGGAAAATCGAACCTCGGATAGTTGTTATTGTAAATCTATATTTCTATCGATAGAAAGAGCCGAGTGCATACATGTATGTTTAAACTAATCGGATTTTATGCCACATTCTTAGACTCCTCTTCCGATCTAATATAAATACCCTAAATTGCCTAGCTAGCGTAGTATTAAAGCATTCCATATCCTAACATTATCATATAGGATAATGCCTCGTCGTTATAGAGTAACGCAACATTTTCAAACAACAGAACAATGCAAGCATTTCGAGCCATACGTGCCAACGCGTTATATCTCACTAAAACTCATCGGCTTGAAACCAAAAACTCAAACCAACACCAGAGAGCAAAAACCGCTCGGAAAATATTGTTCGGTTATCTTATACTCCTTTATATTCCTTTATTCTTATTTCATTCCTTAGGACTTCTTACCAAACGCAAAATCCACCATACAGACTTACCTTCCGACTATATATAAAAGCTCTACCGGAAAATCTATGTACATATTATAGATATCTAATAAATATTTCACTAAATTCTACGTAAAAAATCACGTAAAATTAATTAACATTTAATCATGACTAAATTTCAATAAAAATAATGTTAAATCTACTTATTGCGTACACAAAAGGTTTTTTATCTCATGAGCTTATATTTCCAGGTCTTCTAAACATCATTAGATTCTAAAAAAAAAAAAATAATTAGAATGTTACAATAATATATGAATACACACAAATGTAACGTTTAATGTTTAAAACTCACAACATATTTTATCCTTTTTTTATTTTTTATTGGTTATCAACGATTCGATATTCTCGTTTATGTTATAATAGTTATAATAATAATAATAATAATAATAATAATAATAATAATAATAATAAGTTATAATAATTATAATAATAGGTACAATATCGAAATATAAACAGAACACGCTTGGATTCTAATTACAATCAAAAGAATAACGACGTACAACTCCTACGGGTCCGTAATGATGACCATGGAGAGTCTAACTCGATGTGCACTTAAAATAATAATATGTTTTCAATAACTATCGTTAACGTTATTTCTCTGGTGCTTTTCATTCGGTACATTGTTGAGCTTCTTACCAAAGAATCGACCAAGTCATATTCGAAAGTGTAATACTCTATCGGCGTTATCAAATTGATATGTTAACGTCTTGAAAATACTGGTAATACAAGAAAAAAAATACAAAATGGTCAAAAAATATTTATCAACATCGGATTGAACAGCATTAACACATATTGATATCATTACATTATGTATTGTTCATGAAGGAGTCGTAATTAAATGTTCCAGAATCGATCTCCGGAAGGTTTAAGTGTTAATAACTACAATGATAATAGTATTACTATTTAGTTCGCGGTGCATGATATGAGATCACGGAACACGAAATTCATATGATAAAAAAAAAAAAAAAAACGACGACGTAAACACATTATGTACAGATCGTGTTGTTCCGTCAGTATGCATGGATATATGATATAATCAGAAAAATAATGGATATTTTCTATTTTTGGCACGTATGATTTGAATATAAGTAGATTAGTACCTATACATAATATAGTCGTAAGTAATGACTCTTAAAAAATAAATCAAACCCGTTACAGGTGATCATATTATATAGTTTATATATATGGTAGGAGAGGGGCTGCGTAATATAAGTATATTTAAAAAAATCACTATTAAACTAATAATCTTAATTTTTTTCGTCTTCTAATCGTCCATCGTTGACCGATCGCGGTACCTCGGATTCTTGGCCACGAGAATATCTTTATTACCATCGTCTATGTCGTCGTCGTCATCGTTGTCATCGTTGTCCTGGTCATTGTATTCGTCGTTATCGATTTTAACTTTAGTCTTGCCTGGAGATTTCTTTTTCTTATTCTTGTCCTTATCTTTACTCTTCAGAACCGCAAGACTAATGTAGTCCTCATCAATTTGCGATGAGTATTCCACACTAGAGCTCGTTGACTCCACCGCTACATACGAAGCGGAGAATCCTTTACTTACAATCGTGCTGTCCGTCTTAAATCTGAGCAAGAGAGCGTCGTTCATAGATATCACGTCGGTGGGATTCTAAAAAGTAAATAAAAAAAATTTAAATTAAATTAAAAGTGATGATATTATAATAATTTAAATAGTATACGATCGCAGTGTTAAAATAATAAAAATATAACGATTGGATGTGATTTTTTTTTCGTATACTCACGGTGGGTCCACAAAATTTGCCAAAGAACGGTCCACTTGTATCCAAGCCACTCCATACATCTACATAATCATACATGCAGTCCTTTTCTTCTTCCAGTTCAAACGTCAAGAATGTCAGATGCACGTTCATGTTGGCTTTGGCTTCGATGGTCCATTCGCAAATAGTATCGCTGTCGTAGTTCAAATCTCCGTAGTTGGAATGCGAATAGAAGTGTTTAACATTATTCGTGGCTATCAACCTACCACCACAAACTATGCGGGAAAAGAGATTGAAATGAATTATTATTCTTGAGATAAAAATGGTGATATTATAATCGTGACTTGGGCACTAACCGCGAGGTTATAATATAAATAATATACTCATATATAAAATATTTTACTGTTACGCTCAAAATATGTTTTGTTTTATATCTTAATGTTAAATCGTATACAGTGTGTTTCCTTTTAAAGGTAACACTAAATAATTCTGTCCAGTGACATCAGATTAATATGCGGTTTTCAGGAGGGGATAGGGAATACATAAATACACATTTTTTAATGATTTTTATATTTTTAGATCTTTTCGTGTGCGCATGCGCAATACAACTTGCATTTTTTTAAATGGCAACAGGTGTTTTGAATACCAAATTCGGATAGACCGAATTTTTTTAAGTCGATTTGGTCCTTTTTACTATAGATGTAAAATCAAATCTGACTAAATGGCAACCAGTCAAAGTTTCGATTAAAATTATTGAATTTTTCATCAATCATACTAGAATTTTATGAATAATTATGAAATTTTATTTATTATTTTTGTATCCGTAGGTTTGTAGATATTATTATATCATTTAAATTTAATTTTGAGGAATTAATTAACCTCAATTAGACGTAAATGTTAGTTCAATTACTAAGTAAGAAAAGATTAAACAAAATTATATGATTTATTTCTCATAACTTCTATTATTAAAGTTTCTATTTAAATTATTAATTTTATCAATTATTGTTATTTTTCATGATACAAGTTTGGTAATTACTTGTAATCTCTACGATTATTTTATTTGTAGCCTTTACTAAAATAAACCAAATTTATTTATCGTGTGCTAAGAATGATATTATCTTAATGTCCGTATAAATCTGACAATAATAACTTATTATAACTGATGAGTTTTAGCATTTGTTTAAATGTGATTATTGAAAGCCATTACAAGTTTTAAACTCGTATGTAACGCAAGTATTTCATTGAAATTTAAAAATGGCAAGTAACAATGAAAAAGTTGATATGCTTTTAGTTTATGGTGAATGTCGACGTAATTCACGAAATGCCGCTAGACTTTATGCAGAACGATATCCCGAACGATATCACCCTCCTCACAATTACTTTGTCCGAATTGAATCATCTTTGAGAAATAGTGGTGGGCTACCTGCAAGACGAGGTGATAATCAGCGTAATCAAAGACAGTTGATTGGACAGGTAAACGAACAGAACGAATTGCAGGTATTAGCTTATGTTCAATTAAATCCTCGATCTTCGATTAGGCATTTAAGCAACGAAATTGGAATTTCTTGTAAAAAAGTTCAAAAAATTTTGAAAAAAAATGAATTGCACCCGTGTAGACCTGATTTAGTACAAAAGTTGGTACCAGGTGATTCTAATCGTAAACTTACATTTATTACATGGTTTATGATACAATTACACGACGAACCCGATTTTCTACGATTTATCTGTTGGACCGACGAATCAAAGTTTACCAACAACGGTATAATTAATAAACAAAATAACCGGTATTGGGCTGATCATAATCCATATTGGACGACTGATACAAATCACCAAACAGTTTGGGGAACTAACGTTTGGTGTGGGTTATTAGATGGGAGACTTCTCGGCCCGTATTTTTACGATGGTACACTTACCGGGAGAAGATACTTGGAGTTTACATGAACTAACATTTACGTCTAATTGAGGTTAATTAATTCCTCAAAATTAAATTTAAATGATATAATAATATCTACAAACCTACGGATACAAAAATAATAAATAAAATTTCATAATTATTCATAAAATTCTAGTATGATTGATGAAAAATTCAATAATTTTAATCGAAACTTTGACTGGTTGCCATTTAGTCAGATTTGATTTTACATCTATGGTAAAAAGGACCAAATCGACTTAAAAAAATTCGGTCTATCCGAATTTGGTATTCAAAACACCTGTTGACATTTAAAAAAAATGCAAGTTGTATTGCGCATGCGCACACGGAAAGATCTAAAAATGTAAAAATCATTGAAAAATGTGTATTTATGTATTCCCTATCCCCTCCTGAAAACCACATATTAATCCGATGTTACTGGACAGAATTATTTAGTGTTACCTTTAAAAGGAAACATACTGTATATTATTACGTATTTGTAGCAAGTACAATTTACTGTTTGTGTCTACAAATTTAAAGTTGGTTAGCAGAACACGAGTTCTAAGTAATATATTTCCAGATCATGTATTATTAAAAATATAACATGAACAGTAAGCACACAACCTTACGTTTGAATCATTTGAATAATCCAAAAAAAATTTGAACAGTCATTATGAAACTCAGCATTTGGTTAGTCTAAATAATCACATTGAATTATTATAAATAGGGGCTGGAATTATATTCTTTTGCATATTTTTTTTTTGAGGCTTTGCAGTCAGACGGGGATTCGAAATCTTTACAAATCATGAAACCGGTTACTTAATGATAAAAGTTTTTTTAGCATATTTAAGAATATTGAAGAATATATCGATTAATTTTTATAGATATTCGAGTATTTTAATGCATTGGCATATAAATTATGTGTCCGATAATAGTGATATGATATTGATATATTATATACGTATTATAACCATCGTATATACGACCATTATGCCCTAATTAATAATGTACTGTAATAGTCTGTAGTAGATAAGTGACTTATCAAAGATAACGATGCCCGACAAGAAATGGAATCATTACCACACTTCAAAAATAGCTAGGTCTAAGCGTTTGATTATTACTACATGTACGGTACAACACTGCAGTGTCGCGTGTCGTGTAATGTGGACATAGGTAAATATTAAAGTTTCATTATATTTCATTAGTTGCTTGTTTTAACTTGTTTATAATGCCGAAAACACCATTAACTAAATTAAAAAATGTAATTTCACAGTGGATTCAACCATTAAATAAAAACAATATAAATTTTACAACTGATGGCACAACTCTTTTTTGTCAAGTGTGTAATAAAAATGTACCGTGCATTAAAAAGTCTCAGTTATCACATCATGTAGATACATTTTCACACTAAGAAGCTCTAAAGCGTAAGTTAAACATTAAAAAAAAAAATGTTTTTAAGAGAATTGAATTCTAAAAAAAGTGTAAATTAATTTTATGATTATTTATGTTTGAGTCTTGCTGCCGCAAATATTCCGTGGTATAAATTGCAGAGTCCACAATTCGGGCATTTTTAGAAAAATATACTGGCAAACATGTACCCGATGAAAATTTGCTAAGAAGAAAATTATCCATCACATTGTTATAATAAGACTTTATCCAATTTAAAAAATGAAATAAACGTTAATAATATTTGTTTTGCTGTTGATGAGACAACGGATATAAATGGCCGTTACGTGGCGAATTTTTTGGTTGGGATATTTAAGTCAAATCATCCCACTTGTTCTTTTTTCTTAACAAGTACAGTTTTAGAAAAGACTAATCATTCTACTGTGGCTCAATTTGTGAATGATGGGTTAAAATTATTGAGGTCCTTGGGCGGAAATGATGAAAAAGTATTGTTGATGCTCTCAGATGCTGCGCCATCCATGGTGAAAACGGGACAGTCACTTGCAGTTTTCTATACCAATTTAATTCATGTTACATGTGTAGCTCACGTGTTTAATAGGATTGCAGAAAGGGTTAGAGAAATGTACCCAGACATTAATTAATTAATTAATAACATAAAAAAAAGTATTTTTAAAATCACCATGCCATGTACAAGTGTATAAAGAAATATCAGATATTCCGTTACCCCCTGAACCAGTATTAACCAGATGAGGAACGTGGTTGGAAGCTGCTATTATTAACTGTGATAATTTCCAAGGTTTAAAAAAAGTTATTGGAGAATAAAGTAGTTAAAAATCTCCCAGTCAGTCAGTACTTAAATGTGAAACAGTTATTGACTTAGAAACCATAGAAAACGATCTAATATTTATTAAGGTCCATTTTCTTGTTCTCGTAACATCCAACAAAAGTTTAGAAAAATCTAATGTGTCTCTTGTTGATTTGATAAATCTAATTGAAAATACAATTGGTAACTTCAAAAAATACATGGAGAAAATGGAAATAAAATTAAAATAAAAATTGATCAACTTCAACAAATAAATCAAGGGTTTATTATTTTGAAAAACGTAGCTAAAGTTTTGAATGGAAAGTTTAACTGATAGACAATTTTTCACCGGCTACGATTACTGATTTGCTTAATGCTCCCGTGACTTCAGTTAACGTCGAACGTTCACTTAGAGTGTATAAAAAACATATTAACAGACCGTCGTACAAATATAACACCAGAACATATGGAACAAAATATAGTTGTCAACTTTTTTCAAAAATTTTCTTAATTAAATACACCTTATTGTTATTGATATACTCGTAATTTAATCTAATTTTTTTATCTTGTATTATTTTGCTTATTTTTTGCATATTATTTTTATCATATACCTATTTATATTAGTTTTATTGTATTATTTTGCATATAAATGAATATTTTTAGTTCAAGAAAATATATCAATAAAAAACCATACTTTTTTCATATTTTATTATGATTTTTAAAAAAATATTGGAAGAATATTTTCAACATTTTAAGAAAATATTAGTATCTTATTTTGGCTATTTTAAAAGAATATAATTCTGGTTCCTGCTTATAAAACACTGATCCATTATAAATAAACACTAAACCGTCCAATATATGTGTATATATGTATACTGCCTTACTACAGCGAAAAGCAGTAACTATAAAATTATCAAAAATGAAGTTTTGATGTCATATTGTTAATAAGATTATTCTGAGTATAATTTTATTAAGGTTAAATATACCAAAATTGACATCTAGTAGCTTAAAATGTAACTAAAAAAAATCTTAACTTCAATACATTTACAAAAATCGTACTTTTCCTAAAGTAAAACGCAGTAATTAACAATTCCTACAATTAAAAGCAGTATGTGCATTGCACTTACTGCGTTTACCGTTTGGATTAAAATACTGCGTTTTCTTCTAGTAATACAAAAATATTATTATTATCATTTGCCGCGCAACTATCGTAATTTGTTTTTATCTATCTAATTATTATTATTATCTAATGATAACTTTGCGTAATATTACGAAAGTAAAATAAATTCATGTTTAATTATTATTTTTTATAATATTTATTTTAATTGATTACTGTTGCAGTTATGGCATTTTTAACTTGCAGTGTTTTATGATATTGATGATATTGTATTATATACATTGTACCACTTTATGATATAATGTGAGTAATGCTAAAGAGAAATGCAGTAACTGTTATATTATGTGAAAATTGCCAAAAATGATTTATTAATCACAAAACTAATAGCAATTTTGAATTTCTAGCATAAATTTCCATCTATTTCAGTCAAAAGGTGTACTTTAAGTTTTCAATTGAATAAAAAAATTATAAAAACACAAAAGTTCAATTTCCCGAAAATGTGAATTTTGTAGTTACTGCTTTTCGCAGTAGCTCGGCAGTAGATATGTACAGTGAATAGTATTATTAAATATTTTTTCTATTCTTGATGGTAATATTACTAACGTAAAATGCACGACGACCAATGTCACAATAAATTCAGTAATCAAACATGTCAAATATAATGCATTTTTTCGCTGTATAACGAATATTAAAATCAAAAAAAATTGTCAGAGTTTTTCAATCATAGTTACCCTCTAAATAAAATGTCATCGTTATACAATTTTAAACTTATTCGTTAACTTATCGTTGGACAATTAGTATGAGCCACGGCTATGAAAATTATGTCTTCCCACACCTACCGAGTTGCTCAAATAGTTCATTATCACTATAATACTCGATGAAACATTTTGCGAAAAACAGCTGAACCAGTTTCTTAGCATGAAAATAAAGTACCTGTGCTGTGAGTCGCCGAAAATCCTTTGCGTTGTACTGAAGCGTCACTCTTGAAAGCCAAGTACAGTTGATTGGACGAAGATACGATTGGATGAGGTGTTTTCGAGCCACAAAACCTACCCAGCGTCTGAGAATCTGGCGTGGGTCCATCATAGAATGTGATGTGATCGTAAGCGCATTCTTGGTGTGGTTCCATTTCAAAGGTATCGAAAAGCTATGCGAAAAACATGGAGGCGAACGCATAAAATATCAAATATAATACATTATTGTATGACAAATAATTATTTTTACTATTATTAGTTTGTCGTCCGTAAACGTGCAATATAATTAATCAAAAATAATTCGTTACCACTTTGATCCTATGACCTGGAGTAGTAGTGAAATGCCAGACACAATCTTTACGGCCGGGGTACGAATCCGGGTAATTGGGGCTGCTGATTTCACCATGAGGCGCGGAAATTTCGTGTTTGCAACCGCCTTCCTTACAGTCATGTTTGTTCTCGTGCAACGTGAACCCATTATTGCACATGCACTCGTACGATCCCGGTGTGTTTTTACACTCGTGTTGACAGCCACCGTTATTGACGGCGCACTCGTCCATGTCTGCCCCGTGATTAAGTATAAATTAAATCGATTAAAAGAACACGATTTGGAAGGAGAGATCATTATAAATTACAATTAACACAATTAGGAATTATCTAATGAATTGTAAAAATAATTTTTTTATGAATTAGTCAAAATAATATATGCAGGCTCTGACTATTATGTCACCAACTGTCAAATATAGTGTTGAAATGTATCTACTCGTAAATTAATATTCATCAATATATGTCTAGCTATATTATCCATATACGAGTATATCTTATTTAATCAAAAATATGGCATATTAAATATGAGCGCATTAAGGTTATTCTATGCTTGAAAAAATTATCGAAAAAACACTTAGAATGAAATATTTTGTTTTTCTTTAAAGTGTTAGAAAAACTCTTCGTTGATGGTCCGATATATAATTGTATACTTGGGTGTGTTAAATAAATACATTTTTATTTATCTTTCAAGTTAAAATTATAAAACTTAATTAACTTTTATAAGTAGTACCTAAGTTTATCTCATCTTAACACTGTTAACAGCGTTATATTAAAAGATAGATTTTGCTTGTAGTTTTATAATGGTTTTAGGAAATTCAATTTCTTAAAATCTCTACTTATACATCCAAATGAGATGGTAATCTTTAAAAAATCACTCAGGTATACACTGTACAAAACTACGTAACTGTCAAACCGATCTCCTTACCGATGAAGAAAACTGCAGCGAATCCCGTTTTGTGCACCGAACTGTCTGATTCGAATTCTACACGCAACGCGTTAGCTTCTGAAGTGATCATAGATGGTGCCTCTTGACCACAGTACATACCATGTTTTCGCAGCTTATCAGATCCAATTCTGCTATACACTTCCACACGATCATACTCACATTCAGCCTACAGACAAAAAAATATAGGTTCACGGACACGTCTTAACTAACCGAAACACAATTATATATTTGACATTCGTGCGGGTCCCTTTGTTTTTTATGTTTTGCGATTTGTTCCACTCACCTGATGTAACTGAAAAATATAACCAAGGTTAAACGAATACGGTTTTCCGAGTAATAAGTGTTACGTTTGACTTACATTGTTTCCTTCCAGATCGAAATGTGTAAAGTTCAACGTGATTTTGAATTGAGTCGGTGCTATTATTTCCCAGATACAACTCTTATTACCTGGATACAAGTCTGGAAACGATGGACTAGTTATTGTGCCATTGGTTGCTTCGATTATACCGCCGCAAGCGTCTGAAATAGTATACAATTATAGAACTTTTATGTCATTTATAATATTTTCACTATTTTTACAGAGTATAATTTACTGCCTGTGTCTACAAATTTAAAGTTAGTTAGCTGAACACGATTTCTAAGTATTTTCAACGAACCAAACAAAATAATACAATTAATGATCATAATACATCAACCCTAATTAAATGTGTTTTTAAAAATAAATTATACAGCTAACAATAAAAGAGTTTACAACATTATTACCTATTATTATAGTAATTTGCAATATACTAGTATTTCCAGATCATATATTATTAAAAATATAACATGAACAATATAACATATAACATGCACACAACTTTACATTTGAATCATTTGTGTAATCCAAAAAAAAAAAATAGTTGAACAATTATTATGAAACTCAGCATTTGGATAGCCAGAATAACCACATTGAATTATTATAAAACACTGAACCATTATAAACAAACACAAAACCACCCAATATATGTGTGTATGTATATCTATTTCGTATAATTTTATAAATGTAGTGGAAAGAAAATATAAAAATATATTTATCGCTCATTGCATATCAGATTTACGTGAAGTATGTCCAAGTTCTTCTTATGGTGTTAAAAATTACTACGCATGATCGCCGGTTCGATCATTAGTAATTTTATTTTTTGGACAATCAATCCGTCTAGACTCTAGAGACTTTTCACAAGACCTCTTTCTCTATCAAGTACACTTTACGAATTATTTGAACAAACTGAGCAACTCTCGGGAGCACGCTAATAACAATGTTTCTTACCATTATGATTTTTATAAAAATTGTCCATATTGAAATTCAAGAATAATTATTTAAAACAAATATTTCAGTATAATTATATTTATCATTCAACTCTATATTTTACAATTGAATTAATTATACAGTATACATATAAGACTAAACTATATACATACTAGTTTTCATTATAGAGAAAAGAAGGAAAATGTTGGAAATATGCTTCCCGCGCTAATCTTATACTCGTCCAAGGTTAAATTACATTTAATTGATGTATTTTTCATTTTATTCATATACACGCGTTTTTAATTCATGAAAATAGAGTCTGATACACATTTATTACGAATGCTTAATAAAACGACTAATGCATATGGGACCCCTTAGTCACTGAGTCGACGGTTACCAATTGCCTCGAGAAGTCATGATAAACGTCGAGTATAACACCTAGCAGCGTCGTGAGCAAGATTCAGGATTACGATCGGTTGCCTGTGAAGCGACATGATTAAATATATTAATTTGACTATGATTATAGTACACACTTAGAATTTCCACTTATACCATATATCTTATGTATACATAATCGAACTGTAAATAAATAATTCGAGATGTGGGTTTTATATCCGAATTTTGAACACGAGCACTTAAATCTACTGAATAGCTATCGTTTATCAAACTTGGAGTTTGTAAGTAATTAAACGAAGTATACATTTTAACCGATTTCAAGTGAAATTAAAGTGACTACTAATGGTATCATTTAAATTCACTCGATTTAAATCAAATAAATCCACTATATATACTTAATCCACCGCCATATTAGATTGTAAATTAAATAATCATACTATACTTTAGAATACGTATAGAAATCACATTTAAAATTTTCCAGAACATTTTAAGTACAAATACTGAAAACTTCTGAACTATCTTGCAGAATTTCAAGTGTTTTATAAACACATTTTATTTCGTTCACACTATTTAAAAATATAATTCAAATTAATTGAAGAATATGAAACTGCAAAACTAAACGATGATATGATATAAGGCAGGGACAAACCGTGTTCTCTCGTCATCTCAAATTTTCTATGTTTACCAATAAAATAAATCGTTTACCTCAGTAACGCATACCCGAAGAAGATCAGTATTATTACCAGAATCTAACTGAATAATTAAGCGCAGTCGTGAAGTATTTTCAAGTTCAAATGACGCGTACCGTTGTTGTTGGCTAAAAGGGTAATAATTTACAGTCGTATTTTTGTTTACGATCGCATTTTTGACGATCGTACGTGCAATGTTCCGGTGCATAGTGAACGCACAGCATTATTATAAAAATGAAAAACGAACAGAATACATTCGCATGATCGCGACCGGATGTAAATCGGTGCCAAGGGCCGGCGCACCCGAATTTTAATCAAATCTATCGCCTTGACGTCCCACACGCTCAAACCATCATATTGCATAACCTGAACACCTTTAACGAGCGAACAACAACGTTAAGTTGCCTAAAATCAGTATTGTGGCGTGCATAAAAGCTAGGTAAGTATTGCTTAAACTTTCAGTTGTTTAATGTTTTAAGTATATTTAAATCAAACAAATTTAAATACTATATAAGCCATAATCTAGTTCTATGAATGTTAAATGATGCACTGCGTTTTGTTAAACGTTAGTACTATTACTGACGTTTAACAAAATACATTATTGTTAATCAATAAAATTGTTGGTTTCGGACGTTTCAACCTTCGGAAGAGAACAAGCTAAGAATACGAGTAATCGGTAGAATATTCCCATACACTCTACAACACACTCACATTCAGGTCAACGATGACAAGATTTTTTTTATAAATATGAGAATGGACATGTGGATAAGTGATTACAATTCCGTTTATTGTTTTGTATATTAGACTATGATTTTACATTTTGGAATACGAAGTAATATTAGGAGTGGTTGTTCTGGCATTTAAGGCACTTTTAAATATGCTACACTACCAACCATCAATGAATTTAAAACCACGTTTAAACATGTTTAATTAAAAAAATATTTATAAAAGTAACTTCAGAATATTGTTATCTATTATTTACTTATAGCGGTAAGCAATATATTAAGATACAGGAGATACAGTTTTAATTAATGTTTATACCACTGACTACAGCACACTCCGCCATAGTAAGCAATTTTTTTTATATAGTTTTCTTTTATATCTTAGGGCCATGTCAGAATGTTGATGGCTTAATTTACAATTAATAAAAACGATATCATCGTTTCCAGAAATATTTTTCAACTTATTCATTTAAGCATTCGTAACACGATGAAGTAATTCACATATGAATCTGGTATCCAATTCAGAAGGCTGTACATAAATTAAATAATGCAGTAAGGGATAAGCTAGGTTCATAGAAATAAATCAAACTTTTTTTTTTAAACTATGTCTATTTTTGGTCAACCGAAACGACCCTAGGTTCAAAAAAAATTGATTCTGGGAAAAGACCATAGTGTGGGTAATATACCTCTTTGACAATAATATAATTTGGTCCAACCTTGTATCACGTACTAAAAGGAATATATACAATCGTCTTTAGATATAAGAAATCATAAATCAGATTCTTGTTTTATCCAATTTTTTTTTCAACGAATACCAGGCTCAGAAAATTAAAAATTTAAAGCAACGCAATAAATTTCTAAACAGTAAACTCTACAAAGTTATTCGATTTATCTTATCATATGAGTAATAAAGTTAGTAATAACTAAATTCAACTTTTCGGAAAAGGAATGAAAAAATGAACATTAAGGATCACGATTTCTTATAGTGTGAAATGTTTTATGGAATGTTTGTAGTGGGCTTACTACAGAAAAATGTTATGGTAGAAAAATAAAACATTTTTGTGAGATCAATACATTCCTTGCTTCGATGGGAATTTGAAATCTACCATTTTAATATTGGTTTGTATTGGTTTTACGGCAAACAGTAGTTATAGATGAAAACGAAAAACGACCAAACAAATAATTTTTGTTCGTTATTGAAAAAATAAATAAAAATTGTTAATCACGTAGGCACTATATGTATGACATATCTACGTAATTATTTATAACAATACATAACAATTTTTAGCGCCTGAAATCAAAGCTACCAATATTTACTTCAAATCAGATTTCATGTTTACAAAACATTAATTAATAAATAAAAATTCGAGTATATACCTTCGCAGTGTTTGTTGTCGGAGTGAAGTTCAAAACCCACTTTACATGCGCAATCATATCCACCCAACGTATTAATGCAGAACTGCTCGCACCCATGGTCTACTGAAGTGCATTCGTCGTATTCTATAAAAAAAAGTAAACAAACATTAAATATACATAATATTCAAACAATATTGAAAAAGACAATGTTATGTATTAGCACAAATATCACGTAATAAAAATATCCTGTACACGATCATATTTTGGGTCACAAATCTTTCAGATGGACTTTCTTTTATCCAAATATATTTTAATATCAAACATTTTATCTTCGTTTTTTTAAATAATTTTTTTTTTTTTTTAATATAATGCAGTTCATAAAATATGCAACCACTGATTTTTTTTTATCTTTTTGTTTCACTTTGTATAATTTTTATACTGATGAAAAAAAACCATTTCTATTGTTCATCATCAACATCACATGTTCTATAACGGAAAAATATAACTTTGTGATGGCTCTTATAATTTTATATTTATTAAAACTTTAACTTTTGATTACATATATTTACATTATTTGGAGTATTATATCTTTGAAGAAGTATTAGTTCTTAAAATTATACAATTTTATGTATAAAAATACATATTGAATTGATGTAAATATGAAAAAATGTGTTATCATTATTTTATATTTTAATAAGTACCGGATATTTATTATTCTGTCATTGATTGAAGGTTAGCAAACTAAAAAAAAATATTTTCATGATATTTATCAAGCATCACTTTTTTCCGTTATAAATTTACCATAAATAATAACGAGAACTGATAGTGAAAAATTACATTATGATTTACAAAATGTGTTAGCTTATTTTTCCCATGTTTGATTGATATTTGTAGTTTTTTTTGTTGCTCGTCAATATACTTAGAGAAGGAATTATTTAAAAAAAAAGTAATAGGTTCGCTGAAATTTGCATAATAGAAAACCTTGAATAAAATGAAATAAAAGCAACAAATTTTCATGATTAATCTATGTCAATATAATTTCAAGTTTTAAAATGTCGTTGATATTAAACAAACTAAAAGTATACTATTAATTGATTATTTGTTCTATACAAATCGAACAATACGAGTAAATAATAAGGCGTCATTACTTTAGACTAAAAATACATTTTTGAATAATACATTTTCATAACTGTATCAACTGTTACTTTAAACACTTTCAAATATAGGTTTTGTAATATTGTGCACATGACTTATTGCAAATAAGGGAAAAAACTTCATCAAAACAGTGGACTTGGCACGTATAAAAAAGAATAAAATTATTTTAAACCCAGTTGTAAAATCAATAATACTTAAATAATAATATTTACTGTACTTATATGTATTTAATATTTATACTTTTCTTATGTCATCCAATTATATTACAATCACAACGTAACTTTAATACAGTTATAAATACAATTCGTTTAACGCAAAAAATAATAATAATAAGACAGAATTAAATACAATATAAAACTAACTGAAGAAAATATTGTACTAAATTATATATTATATACAACGCACCTTTCATAAATGTAGCGGAAAACCCAGCCTTCTGCACGGAGCTGTCTGACAAGAATTTGACATATAGTTTGTTTGTCGTTGAATGAACGTCTAAAGGTAGTTTATATCCGCAGTATTTGCTTATCAAAGGGCTGTCGGCTAAGTGCCCGTTTCTGATCTCCACGTAATCATAGAAGCAATTGTCATGGTTTTCGATCTGTATGTTGTTTAATATAGGTTTATAACCAACAAATAATAAACGTTTCATAGTTGTATATCAAATATATAAATGAATATCGATATTGTAATCGAACATAATACATATAATACGTATTACATACGATACATACGATTATAAACATATAAGGATATACGATTATATACATACGATTTTATAGAATCACGTAATATTTAACAAATCTAACTTTAGTATAACGATAATAGGATTTAATTGTACATGTATTGTAACTTTAATTATATTTATTTTCTATTCATGATTTTTTTACAGTTCCATAGATGAAAAATTGTGAACAAATTTTAATTAAAAAGACGATTTTTCGAGAAAATTCAGAAAAATTAGAAATTGAATTAGAAACTAAAAATAAACGTATAATTTATTATATTTTAGTTGAATTTCCAAGTTATAATGGAATGTTTGTTTAATTTGTAATTAACGAAATCATATTACCATTCAATTACCGTAAATTTCAAACGTGTTCAATGTTTTTTTTTTCTTTTAGTCATACTCTTTTTATTTAAATTAGTTAATTACCAGAAAGTTTGTTAGAAAATTATTAACTTACTGTTTATGTATGCTAAAATAAATTAAAACAGAATAAAATATTTATAAGACAATTAATGCCTGATTTGATTATTACGTTAACAAAAGTATATTATAAAAGATTCCACGCCGAACGAGTGTAAAACGAGTGTTGTTTGAAAAAATATATACTAGTTTCTTTAAATATCAAATAAAGAAAATATTTTAAACGCTTTGAAGATATAATAGGATGAACTCATCAAATGATTTGCAGCATTTATTTATTTTTATCGTTGACAAACAATTAGGGCATGGCAGTAACACTTGGACAGAAATTAATTCATTTAAGTGAAAAAAAAATTTGAAATAAACCTCGAATACGGTAAACTTTAATCCGACTTGGTACCCTTCTGGAGCTGTTAGTTTCCAAACGCACTCTTTATTCGGCAAATAATCGTCTGGAAAATTGGGCGATTCTAAGTGCCCCGGTTCGTCTGTCACCATAACTTCTCCACCGCAAACAGCTAAAAAAAGATAAATATTATTATTTTAATTACAACCATTTTGTGACCTACCGCCAGTAACGTAACCAGGAGGTTCATTAAACATATACCTTTCAATTAAAGAAATAGTTTTTTTTTATTTAATTTTAAGACATAATTTTATGAATTTTATTTTCAAATTATAGCATTCAGTATTTATTTCATAAAATTGATATAAAACTTCTAAAATTTATGTCACTTGTAATTGAAATTTAATAATTATATTCTTTTTTTTGTCCAAATATTGTTCGATAATGAAATTTTGAGTAAAATTGTTTTATGTTTAAACGTTTATTTATAAGAATACAATTTATAAAATAATTCAAACATTGCTTGAAACTTAATGTTATGTTTTAATCTACCTAAAATATATTTTAACATTTTTACAAACCTTCGTAACTCGCAGTGAATCCTTGGTATTTCGTGCCTTTATCAGATATCATAAAACTTATCAGCATTCTACTATTGCCCGTCACTATTGGGTTTTGGATACGATTACTTCCACAAAATCTACCTAAAGGCATAATAAATTATTCTACTTGTGTTTGCTTACAGTAATCGGTAATCCCATGAAATTAATTTAAATCTTGAAGTAATTTTAATGGATGTAAACATTTAATATTTAGCTGAAAATATATTATACATTTTAACAAACCTTCATAAATCATTAAAAAATAGCAATTTGAGTGGTAGATTTATTTATTAAAATGTTGGTGTTAATTTAATTTTACAATAGCAAGTAAAATATTCAGTATACTTTGTAAATCTTGAAGATTTAATTAATAATTTAAACATTTATTATTATATTCTTAAAAATGTACCTTTTTACATTTCTAAATTAAGTTAAAGTACCATAAAAAAATATATTTGTGATGAAAATTAAAATTAAAAAAAAACTTAAAATGTACCTTCTTATGTTTTGAAGTTTAATTTTCTATAATTTCTCTTTAATACTTAAATTTAACTCAATAAATATTCCCTAGTCATCATTGCATTGGTCTTTTATTGTAATTAATAATCTAATATAGCTCAAAAATATACTTGATCATTTTCAACAAAATATAAATAAATAAGTAAATAAGTCAAACTTGTAGGGTATATTATTATTATTATCATACTGAATACGTATTACTCATTAAATGTAAAAGAAGCGAATAAAATGTAACTCAATAAAAAGTATTAAATATTTGTTTCTGAATACTTATTAAAAATTATATTACAAATATTATATATATATATATATATATATATATATATATATAAATATTCCATTAAAAAGGTATATACAAATAAAAATTATACATTACTAAGTTTGTTTACTTTACTATTTACATAAAATAAATATCCAAAATATCTAAATAATTGTATAGTCATATACAGGGTGTTTCTGTAATAGATGAGGACATTAGTACACATTGTGATGTACCCGCTGTGATGGTCCAAAGTAGATTTTTTTGAAATTCTTTTTCAATCTCTAAAATCTTGGTTTAATCAATTTATTTTTAGGACATTACTTTAAATGTTAAAATAAACACTTAAGTTGTACTTTTTTGCAAAATTCTTATACGAATCGAAACATCACACTGCTTTTAGGCTTGTCGCGCTTTTTCAACAATGTTAAAGCTGTTTTAAAAAATTATGTATGTTAACTGATAAAATCTAATATCACCACTGTTTATCTTGAAATGTTCTCATAAGAATCGATGTGTCACACGGCTTTATTTTTAGTCGGCGACTCGAGCGTGACAAGCCCAAAAACAGTTTGACGTCTTGATTCTTATGAGAATTTTTCAAGAAATACAACTTAAGTTTTTATTTTTACATTTAAGGTAATGTCCTAAAAATAAAATGAATAAACCAAGATTTTGGAGATTGAAAAAAAATTTCAAAAAAATCTACTTTGGACCATCACAGAAATTACGCGTATACTAGTGTTCTCATCCATTCCAGAAAAACCCTGTAGAATGAAGATGATTATTGAATAAATAATTTTTAAAATAAACGAAATTCGATACATATTTTCATTATAATGGTCAAAAATTTTAACTATTTTTTATTGAATTTTAAATAAATTTTGTTTAATTATGATTATTTTACAATGAAAACCATTGTAAATATTCGGATATATCAAATATTAGTGAATAAATTGCACCTTCGTTTATCTTGCAGAGTGCTTATACAAATTGATATGTTACACCACATGTTTTGATCCTGAATACTTGAGCGTGAAAAACGAGTGACAAGCCCAAAATTGATGTTAAATATCGATTCACATGAAAAATTTGCAAGAATTATCTTACAAGTATTAATTTTCATATTCAAAATAATGTTCTAAAGATAATTAGATAAAATTCAGGTTATATATAAATTTTAATATTAGTGTTTGTTTGGTGTTGTTGCTTTATCGATACCGAGAAGAACAAAATTTTCAATATAAAATTTATATACCATATTTACACTTATACGTAACTTGCAAATCAAAAAGTTATACAAATAAACAATTCAATATATTGGACTATTTATGTAGTACTTAAATTGCTGAATCAATTTTTCTTTCAAGTCTACATCATAACAAGTAACAAACAAATTTCACGCAATTACAAATACAAACGCTATTGGTGCACTTACAAACACTTGGCCGCCGATTCCTAGTCGTTTATTATCAAGCATATATAAAATGTACCTAAGTACGTTAAATTTCCACTGATTTTATATATTTCATCAAAGGAAAATTGTTTACACCTAAACGGAACGTTTTATTGACTTAACGCAGCTTTCAATTTACACTATATTATATTTTAATAGTACTGCATAGCAATAAAATAAATTATTTAATGATTCAGCCTAATACACAAAAACTGTATTTCATGAGATTGAAGTTCAATTTCTCGACACTCACGTACAATATTATCGTACATATGCATTTCAAACAAATGGCAATTTATTTTTTTAATCTTAAGTTTTCAAACTCCTTTTTTCTATCAAACCCTGTGACTGAAATGCAATTTTTTTATTTAATTCTGTTTCAACAGAAGCACAATGATTATTGAATTTAAGCTCATCGCCGTATTATTATGTTAATGTGAAATGAAACGTAGAATACATGTGAGAACTTTGACGAAATAATTGTATATGCAATTGAATCACGTTATAAATAACTTACCAAGCAGTGGAGATTTGTGCCAATACCCGTCACGGATCTCCAAAAAATCGGTACTACATTGGTCCGATTTCAGTATGTTCAGCTCGGTGATATTTAGTACTATGCGTTCGCCATGAGTGGCTGTGATTCGCCATTCACACCTTTCGCCATACTCCTGTCCAGGTTCAGGGGAATAACCAAAAATGCCAGTGTTTTCTTGTAACGTCTTCCCGCATCCTAAAATATAACAGACCAATAACTCGTTTATCCATTGTTAGGTTCATTCTACAACCTTGTGTAGTATTCGAAAAAATATCTACAATCGGGAACTCAAAATGCAATGCGAAAAAAATTAATAGGTAAAAGTTTCCAAAACATTAGTGAACAAAATATTTATGTAAAAATAAATAGACTTTAATACCGCTTTAACAGATTTTCATTTTGTGACGTCAACATATAATCAGCGTTGACTAATATATAGTTATATTTGACTTAATTCAAATAGTAAATAAGAATAATAAAAATAATAATATTACATGATTAAAATTTTAGACAGTCTTAGAATTCTGTACTTTTTCAATTGGACATGAATGTCTTATAAGCTGCCTATACTACAATACTAGTTCTACTGACAGTTTTTGAATCGATTTCAAAAGGCTAACGTTAATTTTTTTTTTCTTGTCAACGTTTTATTATAACATAGACTTTTTATAAGTATTTTTGTTTTGAAACGTATAATTAGTGTTCAATAAATTGTTATTTAATTACTTACTTATAGCTGAGATAAGTCCGCACTAGGACACAACATTAATGTTTTTATCTTGCCATTTGATAATATTGACAGATTCTTCCTAACATTAATTACAAAAGAATTGCTCTGATAATGTGGTTCGAAAATATAACACAGTAGCATACAGGTACAAGGTAGAAGTATACAGACAAATCAGATAGATAGAAGCATTGTGTCCTTTTAACGTTAGTCAGCGAATGCTTTGACAAAAATAAATTGTTTTATACTCACTGTAACATTTATACAAAAGCTTTGTTTGAGCTATATCTCCTTCGCTGAGACGGACACGTTGTCCGATCTCTGGTCTTTTCTTTGAGTTTCTCACCGCATCGATCGGATGAATGGTCTCCAAGTACGATCCCTGCAACGACACAAATGCAATATTATAAGCTGAAAATATATGTTATTTAATACAATCCACCGATCACGATGATACAATGGTAATAAAAAATAATGAAATTCCGACGAAAAATCGGATGACGAGCGTATTATCTAAACAAATATATGAGCGGTACACAAATACTTTCCGGAACCTAATGTTTCAATTCAAAATCGCCGCAATCATTTTTAAACTCATTAGTTATATCAATAAATGTTAAAACCCAAATAACTTAAAATATCGTGCAAAAATAACACCCGCTTTCAGCTGTAACTCACACCCGTAATATTATAACGATTTGTAGTATTATATTCACAAAGTAAAAAATATATATGAAATGGGTGGCAAGAAAAAAAACCACACTTCAGCATTGACGCACATACGAAGGAAGGTGGAGGGTGCCAAGAAGTTTTTGACATTCCAAAGACATAAAAATTAATATCTCCTAATTTATTATGATCTAAAAATATTGTTTAAAAATAATTGTATCTACTTTAGTGATAAGAAATATATTTCAGTTTGTATTAGTATTAAAATATACAACTTTATAAAATACATATAAATTATAATTGTGTTAAAAAAATACATATTATAATACATAATCAGTACCTTATAATTTCAAATAAATATCCATTTTTTTACATCATCAAACTCTTATTAGGTTCTTGTGTTATTTCTTATACAATAATCATGATTTTCTTTAAGATTATTATTTATAGTTTTATTTTTCAATTAAGATATTTTATGTAAAAAGAGGTGTAATGAGTGAAGTCCTCAATGGAATTCCTCAGGATGAACCATTTGAATTATTCCAAGATTTATACCAGTAGATTTTGACGTAGAGGATATCTATAGGGAGAGCTCCAAGCTTAGAATTTTTTTAGTGATAAGAAATTAAATGGGTTGCTCTTTTTATAGATGAATATTACTAAAATAAAATCTATACATTTTTTATTTTTTTTGAGTGACGAATATTTTTGTGTTTACTTTTAAATTATTAGAGCTATACGGTACGATACTTTACAGAGTACATCACATACAATAATATAATTTTGTTTATTATTATTACTTATACTATAGTTTTATTGTAAAAATACCATATTTTTTTTAGATTAAAAAATATTTAGTTAGCTTTATATGGTTCATACAGATTATATGCCCATACAACTTAGAGCCTTTTACGAATACAACGTTACGTTCTTTATATAACTTTATCACTATATCTGATGTTTCTACTCGATAAAGTATATCTGTAATAGTTAATATGATTATACTGAAATGTCGGTACAACTCGAATCTGAATTCGAAAACAAAACGTAAATCGACGTGTCACGTGAGAACACTTGCACAAAGTGCTGAACAAAATACGTACATTAGGTGAGGTAGGTATACTATACGTTAATATAAAGAATAAATAGCACGAGATTCGATTAATTTGACGCCTGCAAAACAATACGCCATAAACAATGTACATCCACGAATATAAAGCTTAGGTCACAAACGCCATCGTGCAAATTTCTATAGCATAAAGAAAAAAAATCAACAAAAGACGACGTAATAATATTTTCATATCGGCGGCGTGTACAATAACCGCGAAGACGAAAGTACCAATGGAGGTAACTTCCAGATAACAAGTACAAGAGGGTTTGTCCAGTGTTCTACTTTCAAATTAAAAATAATCGACGAAAAGCTGTTGTGTCCGTGTTGGGTCGAATTGATTGCGAGCACGATTGCAAGTCGGCTAATGGTGACAATAAAAACGTTAATATCGATAACAGAACGAGGCGCGATACTAGTATTATAATAATAACTATTATTTGTTATTAAATAAGTTTAACTTATTATATAATTATTACATTCTTACAAACTATATTTGATTGATTATTTTCAATATGTCACGACGTGAATTACACCCGTGTTTGAATCGGAAAACGATTATTGATGGACAAACATGTATCATTAATTATCATGTACTATATACTATGTTAGTTTTAATTATAAAATATTTCTGTCCATTTTCTGGTTTGGTTGTTTATTATACTTCAGATATTCATATACTATATTTATATTACTTTTTGAACAGGCTCACTGCAAACACCATTACCATGAATATGTTACGAATGTTTGTCATTTACATAAATTTGATTTTTAATCGTCTGCCGGTTTTCGCTCTATTTGTGGATGATAAACCTTAAAGGTAAACTTGGAATATTTGATAAGCTTTCGCAAGTTATAAACTTAACTTTTGAAATGTTTGTTTTAAATTCATGGTGTTTTCGATATCCCTTCGGAATCATGATTACCAATAGTTCCGGAAATGTCTTCTACTTTCACAGCCACTAAGTCGTATATTAACGTTTAATTAAAGTAATTAACGGCAGCCAATTAACGTGAAGTTAATCTGTATTTAGAAACAATCTCATTAGTATGGTTACTTGTATTCAAAATGTATTACTGCAATAAATTAATTTCATTATATATGAGGAGGTATATTAAGATTGTATATTCTCGTTAAATGTTTGGTATAATCTATTTTAAGTGGGCTCTTATAATTAATGTTAATATTTTACATTATACTAGCATCAGTAAGATCTGTTTAGTGGAACGTAAAGCTACAACAAAATCGAAAATTATTATTCATTATTGTAAGAAGAATGCGATTGTAATATAGTTTATTTTCTTCCTTTTCCATTTTAATACCATTTTAAAAACAAAGGAAAATGTTCATGAATCAAAAAAAAAATATTGTTTAGCTTTTAGTAGAAAAAAAAAAGCATTAATATGTTTTATTTTCCCTCTCCTTATATTTTTACACTACGAGATATTTTTTCGTTAATGCAGCATTGCATTTTATGTTATATTTGTTTTATGTTATATGTGGATGCAAACTTGATGTAATAATACAATTTATAAATCATACAAATGAAATATTAATTAATTTATATTTGTAAAACGTTAAAATAATCTATTTATATAATAAAAATTATAAAACGTCACACGACCTGATATTTCTATATAACATATATAGCGGTAAATGTTTAGAAAATGAACCGTTTGTATTGTATACTAGTAAAAAGATGTTCGATATTTGAAAAATATAATATTGCGCTGATGACATGTATAAGTTAATTAATAATTTTCATTTTTTTAATTTTAATTTCATATACTCAAGAATAATATTATAATTATTTTAATATCAATGGATTGTATTTTGTTAATGCAATTAAAATACGTAAATAAGATAATCCAATCGAATAAGACGCAACAAAAATAGTGCGATTTAATTATTATTTGTTGGTAGGTAACGAGTATGGATGATAATTATTATAAGCTGACAACAATCGTGATGATATCCAGTGGCCAATAATAATAATACATACATACATACATGATGTACGTACAAGCTGTAATAAAATTATATTATAAATATGTCATAGGTATAATATTTGTTGTTAATCCAAGTTTCCCTCAATATGTGGATAACATTTGTACATGCTTGAATTTCGTAGCTTTACATGATTTTTCGATCAATTTGATAACGCCGCTTCGATTAAACTTCCAATCCTAAAGTGAACACTACATGATCAATAATATTGGCCAATATTTAGTTATAATAGTTAGCTAAAAATATTTGCTGACCAAATCACTTATTTTATTAATAACGGGATACATTTCTTTATATTTGCCTACTAAATAAAATTTTATAAATATAACTTTTTATTTTAATTTGAATATTTTTTGAACTTTCTAAAGTAAGGTTTGATACTGATACAACTGAATATATTCGATTAAAAAATAATGTTCTTCAATTTTGGTTGACATTATTAAATGTTTGTACTTATATAGAAATATCAATTAAAATATAAATTTTATTTACTATCATAAGAATATAAAGAATAATTATAATATAATACATTGATATTCGATATTCAATTGCATATTTGCTGTATAATCACATTATCTTGTACATTCACACATGTTAATTAATTTTACCAAAACTGTCTTCCACTAATTTATTAAATTAGGAGAATTTTAATATTGAAAATAAATTTTACAATAAAATCGATTAATATTGTATAAACCTAGAAATAAATTAATTTCGTATTTATATACTTACTTATTAAATTTAGCATCAGTTATTTCCATCATAATTGATTCTATATTCTTAATCAAATATTTATATATATTTTTCGGAATAATATTTATCCATTTTAATATAAAATTTACTTTTAAATCTACTCTCCGAACAAAAATAATCTAAATTTATTAAAATAGTATAGGACAATTTAGTTTAAAGTAAAGAATGTGATTCATACATCACACTCGTACGATTATCTTAGGTATTATCAAAGTACTGATATAATATCTATATATATAAATCAATAAAATTCATACATTTCAGATAGTCAGGTAATTGTATTATTTAATAGTAGCTGATAAAATTCGATAAATTAGTAGACTAAAATAAATATAAAATATCCTTTTATATTAAGCCGGGTTCCCACGACTGGTATACTTGACAAGTATGCCAATAATTTTATACTTGTACAAGTATCAATTAATCCACTCCTGCAGCTTTAAGACATCAGTGTGATTCCGATCGTTGTATTGACAACACCTAATTAATGAATTTAAGCTTTTGTTGTTAAAAAGTGAAACTCATAATTTAATTAACATACCAATTATTACCATGAGTAGTGACAATGATAAAATATTAGTTTATTCATCTTTTATGGAAATGTATGATAAGTACTTAAAGCACAAAACCAAAATCAAAAAAAAATTGATACAAATATTAATATAAATATAATAAAATAAATTGATATTACACAATATTTAATTAATAATTTTCTTTCGTAAGCTACCGTTTTCCTTGACCAATTTAACGAGTCATGGGATCACTAGTAGAAGTGTGCTTACTCTTCCTTTAACTCGTATCACATTTACCAACAATGTTTGGGAAACTCACAAGTGACAAATAA